GTGTTGGATATAAATAACAAAGTAGTAAAAAACTATTATTATTATATCATAATATTAAAGGTAAGAGAAGAATTGTTTTTACATTCATTTGAAGAGAGTTTGTAAGGTTCCCTCGAATGTAATTTATTCATTTCCCTGAGAGAAAAGTTTCTAAATAATTTAATCTTCGTAGCTGGTTTTACTCCTGCTGCTTATTCTCACATTCTGGAATGGCGGCAGTCTTATGGAGGCAGCACTGACCACCTCCCTCGTAACTGGGAGGACGATGGTTCGTCCTCCCAGTCACGGTGGTCATCTCAGTGGTCTAGTACGGCGGTAGTCACCTCAGATCCAAGGGAATTGATACTAGGTATTCTAGTGTATAAAGGCATGACAAATTTATAATTTTATATTCAAAATAATCAACTGCATGAGAATGTTACATAAAATAAGCAGTTAATTGTTCACTTTCACTCACATTAAATATTTAAGGAATTAAGATTCGGTGTCAAGTTTTAGTTAATACATTTTTATGCAGAAATCCTCGCAGCCTTCCTGCTCGCTAGGGAGGAGAGACACTGCCTTCACCACTCGCTTCTCGACAGCCAGTTATATACGGAAACTAAATTATCTGCAAATTCCCAAAGTAGCTCACAAGATTATTGCCAACATGTCCGTTAAGGTGATTCCTCTTCTGTAAATAGTGACTGTCCAGTTCTAATTTGTCTTCTCTTGTCGAGACGAAGATCAGTGTCAACATAAATGTCTCAGAAACGCTGATTAGCACAAACGATAGAACTTCTAACAAAGACCTCGACCATTTGTCCACTTAATCTGGATGTCTGGAGTGATGAATGCAGAATGTCTCAAATAATTCACATTGCTGTTATAGACTCAAGATGACCTTTAAAGATGATTATGAAACGGGTTGTCGACAGTTGTTACAGAAGCAGTAACTCTTTTGTCCAAATGTATATATCCTTGAATAAATATATTTCCTAGTAGCAAATGTTACTGAATATCACCAAAGATAACATGAATATATTAAAATTCATCGTTGCTGTTTAGACTCGTATCTGATGCCTAAGTAACTAATCGTGACAATGATCAAATCCACAAGGGGCCGTGATGAGAGTTCGAACCCACGTCTTAGAGGATCTCGGACGCGCCTTAACCCACAAATCCGCAAATCCCCCTTGTGGATTTGTTCATTTGATGTATAACGCTATTGTTATTTCTGTATGAAATCGTGACAATATCTGTGCCAGGTCACGTGACATGTAGAGAGTTGGCAACGCATACGACGTCACCTCCCTACCCAATGCCATCGGATTTTACCTTAACACATTACATAAAACTCATATTAAACCTTATATCAACTGCATTATACATTTTTACGTAAATATTAAATATTCTTTGGTTCATTCTAGTTATGGGAATGACTCAAACATGTTCAGTAAATTTGTAATAGAATTTGGTATCATAACAAGACTGATCTCTTCACCAGTCTTTGATCCGTTCTGGTTGCATTTGTTTGCATATCTGAGCCTTTTATGCCTGAGAAACGTTAACGGTTTAATTTTTATGCATAATGTTACATAGTCTTCACGGCTTGGTACCTTCTTTTGACAATTATTTACTGTAATGTAAAAGGATTCTCACCTAGCCTAAGTTCGTGGACAAACAGAATTCGCCAACCCACAACACAGGGCGCTCAGCCATCATTAGCCACAAGTTGGCTCTGCCGTTCTCAAAAGCATTAGAACAGCAGCCGTGAATTGTTTCTTGGCCAACTTGCGCTTGGAGTAAGTCCTTTCAATATGTAATAGAAACACGTGACACCACGAGCAGAGAGAGAGAAAGTAAAGAGATAAAAATACATTTACAAATAAAAAGAAAACCACTAGCAGCATCATGAAACTCATAACATCAGTTTGATTTATTATAAACTCTCATTTTACCTCAACAGCGGTAAGAGATTTACATGTTATTGAATACACGGCGCGGCGAGGTGCAGGTCTGACCCTCGCCTCGTGCTCAGGTTCCTGGAATTTTCACATTTATACTCCAGTTTGGATCGTAATATCACCCACGCTTGTCCAGAAACTCCTCGTCATAATGATCCATTAGAATCAACACTTCGATAATTGTTTCCTCATGCACACTTAATGTTTGAGAACTCATTTGAAACACACACACACACACACACACACACACACACACACACACACACACACACACACACACTCACACTCACACACACACACACACACACACACACTCGCGCGTATACGTTTTTGACACTAAATATTGGAGTTTATTTGTGATGTAACGTGTGTCAATGGTGTGTCACAAGAGTCTTTCTTGTAACATATGGCAGAGACATTTGAATCGTTGGTGTCATTGGTGTCAGTGGTATGTCAGGGTATCACTGGAGTGACATGTGGTCAGTGTCATGGGGTGACAGGTGTGTGCCAGAGGTGATAAGTGATATTGAACTTTATGAAAGGTCAGTGTTATTTTTAGAGAAAACTTTGACAATGGTTGCGTCCTTAGACAGAGCGCCTCATTCGATCAGAGGGATTACGTCTAGAAATGGATGGATAACCGCCTGACCAGATTCGCTCTTGAGTAGAGACCTCCAAAATCCTAACAGGTAATTGTATATATATATATATATATATATATATATATATATATATATATATATATATATATATATATATATATATATATATATATATATATATAATACATCTCCTTCTAAAGATGTATTGATATACGAAAGTACTTAAGGAAATTCCTGTTTCAATTTTCCTCCGTGGTCTGACACTGTCACATATTTAATCACGTGTTTATTTTTCGTGATTTACACACACACACACACACACACACACACACACACACACACACACACACACACACACACACACACATATATATATATATATATATATATATATATATGTGCAACAATGATCACAAAAACACTGATCCAAGTATGCAGAATAACCACATATGAAAAATAGAAAATGCTTAACGCGTTTTCGGCTAATTCGCCTTCATCAGAGCAAAGTAGAATAGAATCTTCATTCTACTTTGCTCTGATGAAGGCGAATTAGCCGAAAACGCGTTAAGCATTTTCTATTTTTCATATGTGGTTATTCTGCATATATATATATATATACCTGTGTAAGGTCACCTTGTATGATTGGTTTATTGCATTTATCTTGGCAAGGGTAAAGGGTATGGGTCATAACCTATGCAATCTAGTGGTAGATTGTACAGTCATGTTATTTTATATAATAAACGCTCACCGCTCCATTATCAATATTACAACCAGTGTCATCATCACTACTGTCCCTCTAGTACCACAACCACTTACAAAGGTGCCGATCATCACCACTATCATCCTACCAACACAAGCACCAACCATTACTACTACCACTACGCTACGAAACATTACCCACTGTCCTCACTAACACCCCCCCAAGGCCCCTCAAGCACGAACCAACACAACTACCACCACCACCACCACCACCACCACCAACCACACCCCCACCACTACCACCCCTCCACCACCAGAGGGGCCACCATTACCTCCACAACTCCCTCTCGCTCCTACTCCACAAGCTGATATATATACCTTAGCGAGCCCGATATGAAGAAATAAATTGGCATTACAAGCCTGTGCTACATCACTCGGTAATAAACCTGTTTGCCAGAAATAACTCATGCCGGGACGCCAATTATGAGGACAAGACACCGAATTTAATTTCAGAGTTGCAATTTTATCCTCTGAAGATAGTTGTGAGGGAGAGGAGAGGAGACAATTTTACACTGCATTACTTTCTGTACTAAACATCACTGCCAAATTAGACTCGGGTGAGACTCTTTTTAGTAGCATTAGATATAAATGTAAATCTATAATATATACATATTATATTTTATATGAACAAATAGGCGTGCCCCAGTTCTGGCAGCAAGCAACTATCCACCAATTATTGGAATTGTCTTAATAGAACATCGATTATCTAGTCAGACTGTAATCTTTGATCCCGGCGGTACACAAGGCTTTATTTACAGCCCATAAGAATTTCCTGGGCGGGCAGGTATGTGGTATCAAAAATAGGACCTTATCATTCTCCCCCCCCACCCCTTGGTCAATCAACCGCTTGGTCAATCAACCGCTTGGTCAATCACCCCCTTGTCATTCACAGCCTTATCATTCACTACCTTGTCATTCATGACCTTGTCATTCATGACCTTGTCATTCATGACCTTGTCATTCATGACCTTGTCATTCATGCCCTTGTCATTCATGCCCTTGTCATTCATGACCTTGTCACTCATGACCTTGTCATTCATGCCCTTGTCATTCATGCCCTTGTCATTCATGCCCTTGTCATTCATGACCTTGTCATTCATGACCTTGTCATTCATGCCCTTGTCATTCATGCCCTTGTCATTCATGCCCTTGTCATTCATGCCCTTGTCATTCATGCCCTTGTCATTCATGACCTTGTCATTCATGCCCTTGTCATTCATGACCTTGTCATTCATGACCTTGTCATTCATGACCTTGTCATTCATGCCCTTGTCATTCATGACCTTGTCATTCATGACCTTGTCATTCATGACCTTGTCATTCATGACCTTGTCATTCATGACCTTGTCTTTCATGCCCTTGTCTTTCATGACCTTGTCATTCATGCCCTTGTCACTCATGACCTTGTCATTCATGACCTTGTCACTCATGACCTTGTCATTCATGCCCTTGTCATTCATGCCCTTGTCACTCATGACCTTGTCACTCATGACCTTGTCATTCATGACCTTGTCATTTATGCCCTTGTCACTCATGACCTTGTCATTCATGACCTTGTCTTTCATGCCCTTGTCATTCATGCCCTTGTCATTCATGACCTTGTCATTCATGACCTTGTCATTCATGACCTTGTCTTTCATGCCCATGTCATTCATAAACTACCAACTGTGAACGTTCGAGAAAAAACGTGTAAATGACGGGTCAGCGAAGAGTATGTGCTGGTGTAAGGAGCATTACGACAAGTGTCATGTGACATGTGTTATGGCACATGTTCTTCAGGGGTTCATGACAGCTGTACTTTTACAGGTGTGTTTTAACAGCTAGGCTTCTACGGGTGTTATAAGAGCTATATGCTCCAACAGATGTGTTATTATAGCTGGGCTTCTACGGGTGTTATATGAGCTATACGATCCAACAGGTGTGTTATGATAGGATCCGTTATAATGACGATGTTCCCTGTCGAGGGACTGTAAGTCACACGGATTATAGTGCGGTTTCCCGGCACTGTGTACTGGAGGAGAAGACATATAGCCGGACTCGGTATAGTGTGCTCGTGACACACACACACATACACACACACACACACACACACACACACACACACACACACACACACGGGTGGAGGCTGATTCCATTCACAACTTCAAATGTAGATATGACAGAGCCCAGTAGGCTCAGGAATCTGTACACCAGTTGATTGACAGTTCAGAAGTGGTACCAAAGAGCCGGAGCTCAACCCCCGCAAGCACAAATAGGTGAGTACGTACACACACACACACACACACACACACACACACACACACACACACACATCTAAGAGTCAGCCTCAGGCACCTTGCTGGTACTCTCCAAGACTCCAGCACTGTAATTCTCCACTCAGACTCACTATTTGCATTATACTTTACAACTGGAGTACACTACAGTGTTATATTACACTTTATCACTTATATTAAAACCACGCGACTGCACAGTTAAATCTGCCATCCTATCGCTTTACTTACATCACTTAACACAAGCTTCTGTAATTCTTCCGTTGAAGCTTTTCATAATACAGTTGTGTGACTGGTTATTGTATTGTTCCAATTTAACACAGTACTTTGTTGTATTAACACGTCTCCTTTGAGAGCCTCACGCTGACAGCTCACTCTACTACCAGAGCTCAGAGCACCGAGGCCCACACACGGTAACAATATATTATTCCGTGCGCAATTACAGCCTCCTTTGTGTCTTAGTTGAGTGGTTGAGCTCGCTGGAGTGGGTGATCTTGCTGGAGTGGTCGCGCGCATAGCTAGTGTGATCGAAGACCTTGCTAGAGTGACCTTGGCTGAATGATCAGAGACCTAGTTAGAGTGGGAGGGCACTAGGCCAGAGTGGGAGGGCACTAGGCCAGAGTGGGAGGGCACTTGGCCAGAGTGGGAGGGCACTAGGCCAGAGTGGGAGGGCACTAGGCCAGAGTGGGAGGGCACTAGGCCAGAGTGGGAGGGCACTAGGCCAGAGTGGGAGGGCACTAGGCCAGAGTGGGAAGGCACTTGGCCAGAATGGTCGAGCGTCTAGTAAAATATTACTAGACATGGTAGATGTCTATATATATACAAATGTCTATATATATATATATATATATATATATATATATATATATATATATATATATATATATATATATATATATATATATGTATATATATATATGTATATATGATGCCTATTTCAATATAATTCTTACATTTTGTTATACTTCAAAGTTAATTCATTAATTATTTCGTAAGGGATTTATTATATTTTGACAATTAGTTAAGGTAATCATGAGGTGAAAATGTTAAGCTTGTTGAGACTATAAACAAAGGTTTCTCTTCATATACATGCAAGAGTACTGTGAGGCCGACTGCTGCTACTGTGAGGCAGACTGGTGCTACTGTGAGGCAGACTGGTGCTACTGTGAGGCAGACTGGTGCTACTGTGAGGCAGACTGTTGCTACTGTGAGGCAGACTGTTGCTACTGTGAGGCCGACTGGTGCTACTGTGAGGCAGACTGTTGCTACTGTGAGGCAGACTGGTGCTACTGTGAGGCCGACTGGTGCTACTGTGAGGCAGACTGTTGCTACTGTGAGGCAGACTGGTGCTACTGTGAGGCAGACTGGTGCTACTGTGAGGCAGACTGTTGCTACTGTGAGGCAGACTGTTGCTACTGTGAGGCAGACTGTTGCTACTGTGAGGCCGACTGGTGCTACTGTGAGGCCGACTGGTGCTACTGTGAGGCCGACTGCTGCTACTGTGAGGCAGACTGGTGCTACTGTGAGGCCGACTGGTACTACCGTGAGGCAGACTGGTGCTACTGTGAGGCAGACTGGTGCTACTGTGAGGCAGACTGGTGCTACTGTGAGGCAGACTGGTGCTACTGTGAGGCAGACTGTTGCTACTGTGAGGCAGACTGTTGCTACTGTGAGGCAGACTGGTGCTACTGTGAGGCAGACTGTTGCTACTGTGAGGCAGATTGGTGCTACTGTGAGACAGACTGGTGCTACTGTGAGGCAGACTGGTGCTACTGTGAGGCAGACTGTTGCCACTGTGAGGCAGACTGTTGCTACTGTGAGGCAGATTGGTGCTACTGTGAGGCAGACTGTTGCTACTGTGAGGCAGACTGTTGCTACTGTGAGGCAGACTGGTGCTACTGTGAGGCAGACTGGTGCTACTGTGAGGCAGACTGTTGCCACTGTGAGGCAGACTGTTGCCACTGTGAGGCAGATTGGTGCTACTGTGAGGCAGACTGTTGCTACTGTGAGGCAGACTGGTGCTACTGTGAGGCAGACTGTTGCCACTGTGAGGCAAACTGTTGCTACTGTGAGGCAGATTGGTGCTACTGTGAGGCAGACTGTTGCTATTGTGAGGCAGACTGGTGCTACTGTGAGGCAGACTGGTGCTACTGTGAGGCAGACTGGTGCTACTGTGAGGCAGACTGGTGCTACTGTGAGGCAGACTGGTGCTACTGTGAAGCAGACTGGTGCTACTGTGAGGTAGAAAAGTACTTACTGTTCTACATAGCGATGCCGGATATATTACTGTACGTCATCCCAAACTCATTCTTTAACACTGTGTACATTAACACGTCACTCAATATATGCTTAAGAGCCAAAAGTTTCTATGTCTCAAATTTTAATAAGTGGTAGTGTTAGTTTTCCATCAATCCAAAACACATTTAATTTTTCCTTTTGCGGTATTCCCCCTTTGTCGTACAGCCACAGAACTCGAGTCGCGGTACAGAGCGAAATGATACAGAACGCAAGACGCCACTGGCAGCGCGAGCGGAGAGGAACTGAACTATCGCGACCCACTGCTGCCGCCCGCTCATCTCCAGGGCTGGACGCACACTGACTCCCGCCACCAATGTGTACAGCTTATATAGTGCCACAGAGCCAGACACCATAGTGTATAAGTTATATAGTGCCACAGAGAGCCAGACACCATAGTGTATAGGTTATATAGTGCCACAGAGCCAGATACCATAGTGTATAGGTTATATAGTGCCACAGAGAGCCAGACACCATAGTGTACAGCTTATATAGTGTCACAGAGAGCCAGACGCCATAGTGTACAGGTTATACAGTGCCACAGAGCGTGATTCAACAGTGTATAACAGTTTCGTACCATAAAGATGTTATATAATTTACGTTGTGAGAAATGCTTAAACAATATAACATACAGCTTGGACGTATTGTGAACAGAGGATCTCGTAAATAAAATCTCATAAGAACATCGCATATATAATATAGTGGTGTGTATACTCTGAGATTTATCCAAAACTATGCATATGGAGCATTATAGATTATATAGCATTTCCAGTAACCTCAACAAGAGACCTTGAAAAATACAACATTTCTATTAATAAGACCTTTTTTTTTTACACTCTTCTTCCCTTGGACCTCACATATATCTTGTTGATACTGAATAATATATTTATTTAATTATTTGTATAACGATATTTTTATTTATTAAATTTGGGAGAGTTTACCAGGTGTCGGGGTGATTGTCCTCACTCATAACAGTCTCCGGCTTTAGTTTTTCCTATGGAGTGTCTGTAAGGAAGAGCCGCATATATAGCAGATATAAATATCTGTGGCTTGATAAAATGAGATGGAACGAGTAGAGAGGGTGTGAGGGATATAAGCTGGTGAGGATCACAAAGTTGGACAAAAACATAGAGGGTGAAGAGGGAGTAGAGAAGATGCCCAGGAGAGATAGAAAACATGATGAGAGAGTCAAAGCGGAAGCTGGTGGAAGAAACTGTAGACGAGGAGAGAAAGAGATAGAGAGCTGTTTGTGTGTGTGTAGGAGGAGAAGAGAGCCTAGTGTCCTCTCCTTCCCCAACAAACCTGTAGTTGAGCCATGAAGATTGGTCTAGTGTTCAGCGCCATCACTAAGGTTTCCACAGCTCTGATTCTCAAGACAAATCTAAGGAATTTTGTTTATAATTATATTAACTTGAAGGTTGAAGAGAGCGCCCTGGCTGTTCAGTGTGAAAGCTTAGTAGTGGGGATCATTAATCTAACCCCCAAGGGATCTCAACCTTCGATGGAAGGCTAGATTCAACGCCATATTCCAGTTTATTGACGTTAAATAATCACAATCATCAATGTCTTTTACAGGCGCTTTATATTGCCCGCTTCGACACAATTGTCAGCAACTAGTAGTCACCGTACAGCACAAGAATAGTAGCTATCTATAATAGTAGACAGTAAATTGTATATTATAATTAGGAATACTTTTTTGATAACAACCTACAAAATTTGGATTATGATGAAAATGTGTAATATAGTTTCACTCGTACTAATTGTAGGAGAGAAGGGCCACATAGTGGACATCTGGAAAATAAACCACAGAGATCGATGCTCCAGCTCGCTGGGTGAGTAGCAGAAGTGGAATGGGTGAGATGGAGCACAGGGTGAGGTGGAGCACAGGGTGAGGTGGAGCACAATGTGAGGTGGAGCACAGGGTGAGGTGGAGCACAGGGTGAGGTGAGGCACATGTGTGTTGTGGAATGGGTGAGCTGAGACGCGTGTTAAGTCACAGTAACTCATGCGTTATATACTTCAAATTTATATACTCTTTAAGTAGTCAAGTGTATTAATTAATAATGTCTTTTTATTTGCCTGGTTTTTATATTTATATTTTTCTTTTTAATAGAATTATTCTGTTTTTAATTGCATTTTGATGATACTGACAACATAATTTTTTTTAATAAAGGATAAGGTCAAAGTGTTCGTTGACCCACGCGATGCAGCTGTCATTTACACCCCATACTGTGTATTTAAGCCTTAATCCTTCTGCCTTACACAAGTTACAGCCACTCTCCTGTCCCAGGTAAGTCCACTACGGGCTCACCATACCCCGTGCTACTTGGAACTTTTATTCCAAGTAGCGAATCTTAAACAACAACAACAACTGCCTTACAGTTATGCCTCTCCTTTCCCCTCCTGCCCTCCCATCCCCAGCACTTATATACACATTAGTACTACCAAAGAAACAATTCACTCCCATTACTTCAGCCTTTCAACTTACATGTATCTATTTTCTGTCTGACTAGTCTCTAGAATAACACGAATTTAGAAAAAATATGCACAAAAGAGAACGTTAAAAAATGTTCTCCAATGGCCAAAGTTATCACATGAGTGAGTTCAGTGCGTTGTAATGGTCTACGACCATTATATATATATAATCATATATATGAATATATAATATATATATGAACACGAAGCTGACGTGTTCACGGATATAGTGTGACAGCCTCGCCAAGCCCGCTGTGAGCTCAGGCAAAAGGTTCAGTATAATGAGGGCAATCAAATACCATCTTATACCAGAGCGATATTTCTTCCGGATCCAACCATTTATATTGAAAACAAATACAGATACACACAGAAAAACACGGCAGCCGTGCAAACACGCACGCAGGTACGCACTGAAGAACACAAACACACACACACACACACACACACACACACACACACACACACACACACACACACACACACACACACACACACACACACACCAATCCATCTAGCTCTTCGCTCCAGGCCAACCTTCCTCCTGGTGGCAAGAGCCAAAGATCACATCGCTCTACCTCAAGACGCATCACTTTCAAATTTGGAACCAGAAATCTTATTTCGCCCAATCCATGAGTATAGCTTCTGGCATCAATAGGTGAATTTTGGAGAGAGTGGAGGACCAGCAGATATGAACTCGGCGATAAAAGAAAAATAGTGTGTGTGTACTCACCTAGTTGTACTCACCTAGTTGTGTTTGCGGGGGTTGAGCTCTGGCTCTGTGGTCCCGCCTCTCAACCGTCAATCAACAGGTGTACAGGTTCCTGAGCCTATTGGGCTCTATCATATCTACACTTGAAACTGTGTATGGAGTCAGCCTCCACCACATCACTTCCTAATGCATTCCATTTGTCAACCACTCTGACACTAAAAAAGTTCTTTCTAATATCTCTGTGGCTCATTTGGGAACTCAGTTTCCACCTGTGTCCCCTTGTACGTGTTCCCCTTGTGTTAAATAGACTGTCTTTATCTACCCTATCAATTCCCTTCAGAATCTTGAATGTGGTGATCATGTCCCCCCTAACTCTTCTGTCTTCCAGCGAAGTGAGGTTTAATTCCCGTAGTCTCTCCTCGTAGCTCATACCTCTCAGTCTCGGGTACTGTGCGTGTGCCTGTGTGTGTGTGTGTGTGTGTGTGTGTGTGTGTGTGTGTGTGTGTGTGTGTGTGTGTGTGTGTGTGTGTGTGTGCGTGTGTGTGTGTGAGAGAGTAAGAGAAGGACCCGAAGGGAGAAGAAGAGGGAAAGGGTGAGAGGTAAAGGATGAGAAGGAAAGAAGAGTCAGATAAAATATATTAATTAATATGAATATTAAAATACATGTAGACTAAAAAGAGCAATTTTGAACACTGGAGAAAAGCTTACCGTTTTGGAATTAAAATCTAATAGAGTTCTGCGTTTGTTTCTAGACGAGGAAACAGTTCCTGGATTAGTTGCTGGCATGTCGTTAAAAATGTAACCGACTCAGAAATGTAGTCAAGTGAAGGTTTTCCTTCATTCATAGATAAAAGATAACGTTCCGGTTCGAGCGCCTTCATTAGTTTATCGTTTTGTGAGGGCGTTCAATTCGTTAAATTATGGTAACGAAAACCGAATAAACTTTTTTAGCCAAACTAATCACAAATAAATCTGATTATCAAATAAATATATGTAACTATTTAATAACTATGACTGACTCTTTATCTTTATGCTCATTATAGGGTGTATTTATTGATATTTAATAATTAATGCCCCGGGAGGACATTCCAAAGTGTAAATACTTAACTATGGCTTCAGGATCGCTTTCTAATGGTGTGAGAGTTCCTCAAGTGCGACAGCCTCACTTTCCATTAAACTTTGATATGCAACTATTTGTATACAAAATTCTTGCCCATTGGAAAATCAGCTCCAATACCAATTTCGAAACATTTGATATATATTATACACTATATATATATATATATATATATATATATATATATATATATATATATATATATATATATATATATAATATAACCATTCTGATATAATTATTAAACCAGGTCTGTATATCGTCAATGAAAGAACATTTTAAGATGATTTGGTTATGATCAATTTTAGCAAGTCTTAAGGTATTTAAAAAAAAACTTGCCTCTAATTTAATGACCTTTTTAACTGCATTTGATGTATGCTAAACTTTAATTAGCTCCAACAAATATTGTTACAAAGCAAAATGTGAATTTCCATGTATTATAACGGATTGCAATACACGAAGAAAGAGTTACTTGCAAAATGACATATTGATCTACTGACGTACACACGTTGGGAGAAGATTCACCCACTAAGAGAAAGACTACCAAACTAAGTGACCCATAGTCTTACGGATTAGCAGGATCAAACACTTACATAGTCACAAGTACACACACACACACACACACACACACACACACACACACACACAC